TAACTAATTTTATCTGGGTGACTGATCTGGAGAACGATACCTCCAACGATGTAGTGTTATCCTCAGCACTGCACTAGAGTACTACCAACTGAGCCTGGTTTGTAATCTACCCGAAATTCACGTTCAAAACAAAGTGAACAAATAAAATAAAAATCACAGACCAGCTGAGACCTTACATGTTTTACAAACTGCGGAGAAGGGTGAAAAGAGAAACATGGACAAAATAATTTTTGTGTACACACTTCTGTAAGAGATTACAGATAGCACCCAAAACTAATGTTACCTGAATTCCATCAAAATACCCCAAAAAACAACACACACAAAAAAAACAGTAATTCCGCATAATCAGAAGGCACCATCTGGAACAATTAGCTGAATTCGTTCGATTCTGTGGGACTCCGAGAATCAGGCATATCTCCTTATTGACTGATCTGGAATTATACATGTAATAAATCCTCCAAAAAATGAAGCATGCCATTGCCTGTCAAGGCTATTTTTACTTCAACCACCGAAGAAAGCCTGATAAGGCTGAAAGGAACAGATTAATATATGCAAATCACATCCTGCGTTTAAAAGCCCACAACTGTCTACACTTTCTGTCCCTTATTGCTGCCTTTATGTTTTATTCATGCAACAGCTCACCTGTCACTTCATAAGCTATAATATTATGGGGGTATTATTAAACAGCATAAAAGCAGTGCCTTAATTGGAAAGCTTCATTGCATTTTCCAATTATTTGGAGTAAATTAAAAGCAGATGCACATACTTTAATAAGGATTCTAATATTGGTTCCAGGAAATCAAAATTCATTGTCATCTCGCTGCTGTGATATTTTTCGAACTGCGCTCAATTTTACTGGTTTAAAAGGAGAATCTGTCTACACAGTCGGTTAATTGTCAGTCATGTAACGGCTATTAAAATAATTGGATCTCATAGATTTCCATCCGCTTTTTTTTTAAAAAACACAAGACAGAGGATTTTTTCAAGAATTAATTTTAATAGGAGCCTCGAAAAATACTCACTTAAGTTTATTTATAAACAAGATTAAGGCTCTCAAACTTACAACAGGGTAGAAACTTAAAAATGTATTCAATATTTCACTCTTAAATGGTGTGATATTTAATGACATCTGACATTGCACCTATCTACTCGAAAACATCTTACTCAATTTAGCTGGACATGGTTCACACACAAAGTGCGATTTTCCTGCACACAAAACAAGGGGTCGTGTGTTACACAGAGATGGTTGGGTGGGGGGGAGTGGGGAGAGAAGAGGGAGAGAGCGAATGAGAGAGAGAGCGAGAGAGAGGAGCATTAGACCCTTTCTGTTGGGCTGATGCACACTGCAGCTCATCTCAAAGGCGGCACAATTTCGCACGTTAGGAAACCTGTAAATTCACACTTTGTGCAAAGGAGAAACACAGCATAAATCTGCAGCTTGATGTGAATTGGAAGTCACTGAGAGAACAGGGAAAAAAACAGTCATCAGCACATTGAGGAGTTAACCCATTATATGTGAAGAAACCTGATTTAACTTTGCACAGATGCCTTCAAGATGGGTTCACCTGCCCAATTCTTACCACCCGCACCTTCTTATTCCTCCTCTTTCCTGAGGTAACAACCTGAAAGGTGTCGGAATCATAAAACATACAGCATAGGACACCCACTGAAGCTTAACTGGTGCCAGCTCACCTACTACACTTAGCTATTCTACTAAGGTCAACTCCCTGCCCTCTCTCATTCATTCTCACATTCTTCCTCTTCACGTATGGAGCCAAATTCCTTTCAAATATCACAATAATAAAAAAAACTTACATCTGATAGAGCGGCTTTCACGTCGAAGGACAACTAAAGATGCTTCACAAGATTTATAGCAAAATGCAGTGACGTGTATTTTTGTAGATGAACACCACAGCCAATTTGTGCACAGCAATGTCCCACAAACAGCCATGAAGTGAATTACCAATTTTAACTGGTGGAGAATTGCTGGCCAGGACACCTCGCGAGAGAAACTCCCTTCTCTTTTCCAATAAGTGTTGAGGGATCTTTAATGTCCACCTGAACAGCCTCTGCCACCCACTCAATCGCTTGGTCGTGTTCCCTGAAGAGTGCTCTCTCAATTCCAATATTGAAAATACTTCTCGCAACAAGTTGGAAGTTCATGCTGCTTGTGCTGGGTTTGCAAAGCACAGGTGACACACACCTGAATGAAGCTCTCGAGTAAACGAAGGCCAAAAGGCTGAACAACTCTCCTGCAGTTTTGAAACTAGCTTGTGTATCTCGCGCTTGTTTTGCGAAGAATCTACCCTTTTACAGGCGGCAGATTGATGAACAAGAACAAAACTCTGCTCCTGGCTACAATTTGTGCTAAAAGTATATTTACTCAGAAATGCAAACGTACTTTTTTTTCCCCCAAATAGTACACACATTTGCTGGAGAAACAATTAAAAGAATAATTGCAACAGGGCATTAATCATTACCTACTTAACCACCTGACAACTTCAGCAGCACTTGGAGAACATTAAACAAAAATTCTCCAGTTGCTCATTAATTCTATGGTAAATCATATAATTAATAGCTACCCGCTGTTCACCTCCTTTCTCTACCCTCGCCCCCCCTCTCCCCTTCCAAAAAAAGGTCTTCGAAAGTGTTTGAAGAGATGGAATATAAAAGGGTACAAGGAAAGAGCAGGGAATTGGGATTCAGAGTAGATAGCTCCAGTGGAGAAGTTAACACCAGCATAGACTCAATGGGCCAAATGGCCTCCTTCTGTGCTGTAATGGCTATGATTCAATGATTAATAGATGGTCCTCCTTTGCTATTTCGTCAAGTGAACAACCAAGTGAACATACCAAATGGTTGCCCGCCCAGGTCCTAATTTTAAGAATCACTGAAAATATTTTTAAGAGGAGCAATTATGTAAACTGGGCATGTTCGCGCTGGAGAAGAGAAGGTTGAGGGGCAAAATGATTACTGTCTTTAAGATTCTGAAGGTACTAGTTAATGTAATAACACTAACTCTTGCATTCGATATTTATCACGACTTTGAGACGTCTCAAAGCGCTTCACAAAATACATTGTAAAGTGAATTGACTGTGTATTTTGTGGGAGAAATGTAGACCATGATAAGTTGTTTCATCTTGTACTGAACAGTATAACCAGAGGACACAGCCTGCGATTGGAGGGGTAAATTCAGAACAAATCTGCAGAAACACTATTTCAGTGAGCGAGTTGTAAACGTATGGAACAAGCTCCCTCGGGAGAAGGTGGAAGCACAAAGTGCCGTTTGTTTCAAGAACAAATGAGATAGATTTCTGCTAGAAAATAATACCTTGGGGATACAGTATATAGTTTGGGACACGACATGTCAAGCGAATGCCAGGTGGAAGGGGAACTAGATGGACCTTGGTTTTCCTTCGCCAGCAAATTCTTATGTTCTGAAAAGGTCACAAAATAGCAATAAAAGGAGGCAGACCGACCGGTCGATCTTTTTTGAGAGGAAGAGGTTTTCCTCAGGTAGTCATTTCACGTTGCAAAGTGCATTTAGAATGACATCCTGACAACCTGCTACCTATCACTCCAACAATATCGGGAGCCAGTGAGTTTAAATACATTGGATACATATTCCCAGACATGCCCAAATGAATTTTACATTCCTGGAGTCCACATAAGAGAAGTCATTATGCAGCCTGGACAGACCAGTTTGACTTGCAACTACAATTTCTTGGTAATTACATTATTGCTGATTGATCCGCAGTATTAACTTGTCAGTGTTCTCCACTTAGGGCTCCTTCACTGAAGAGCAACATAATAATATAATAATCGTTGCATTTGATATCACGCCTTATCACATCGAGACGTCTCAAAGCGCTTCACAGAATATACTGTAAAGTGAACTGACTATATAGTTTGTGAGTGAAATGTGGCACACAATTATGCACAACAGTGTCCCACAAACAATCATGGATTGAGTGACCAAATTATTATTATTATTATTTTCAAAGGGATTATTACCCCCGGAAAAGCGATCTAACAACCGGGTTCCTACATACTGCTAAGTAAACAGAGGCATGTGGAGTAATGAAACTTGTCCAACATTTCGCCCTGCCGGGAATCGAACCCAGGTCCCAAGTGCTCTAACCTCTACACTACAGAACTCCAATCAATCGGATCCAAAGCTGGTGCTCTCGCTCAGGTTTGACAAACCTTTAAAAAAAACACACAAATACTGCAGATGTCGGAAATCTGAAACAAAAACAAGATCGCTAGGAACACTCAGCAGGTCAGGCAGCATCTATGGAGAAAAGAATGTGGGTCAACGTTGACTCACTTTCCTTTCTCCATAGATGCTGCCTGACCTGCTGAGTGTTCCCAGCGACCTCTGTTTTTGTTTTTGGCAAACCTTAATTTAGGTCTAGGATAGACAATTCCTCATTGAAGAGATGGGCATTATGTAAGAACTACCCTTGACCTTCAACATTGAGGGCTTTTACCTCCATATTGGCCACATCCTTTGTCATGCATGCTATTTTTAAAATGCTAACCCTTCTAATTTTTTCATAATAATAATCCTTCCATTCGATATAGACAAAACTGCTTAAAACGCTTCCAATACAATACAAGATTATATTTGTATAGAGCCTTTCACGTCGGGAGGACTTCCCAAGGCCCTGGACAGTCAGGAATTTGGACCCGAGCAGGGCGAGGATAATAATCTCCATGTGAATGAATACTGAACAGTTTGGATTAAAAGTGTTCCCTCAGTCCATCAGCATACTGGTTATTTTATTACTTTTTTTAATTAGCAAATAGATTTTGCGATTATTATTAATAGATTAAGCACCACAGATTTCAAAGTGCCTATACGCACAGGTGATTCTAATGATAATAATCCTTGCATTTGATATAGCACCTTATCGCGTCATTGAGACGTCTCAAAGCGCTTCACAGAATATACTGTAAAGTGAATTAACTGTGAATTTTGTGGGCGAAACTCTCACCTGATATGGCGTACAGGTTGGAAGTCTGATGTTCGAAGTCAGGTCTTGTGCCGTTTGTCTTTCCGCGGAAGCTAGCAGGAAGTGTCAAGGATATGTGCCTGGAACAGAACACAAGCTGATATTTAGGGATCTGAGCATAGTCACCGGCAGAATACAGATGCTCACGAACAATTCTGGAGACGATTTCAGGTCAGGACTTTTGCCACTGGATCTTGTGTCATACACGTCAAAAAAAAATATTTTTCAGCCTTAAAATACAGGCAAGTCTGTAAAACTCAAATTCTTTGCATTTCAGTGCAGCAGACAGGAAAAGTATTATAAAAACACACCACCTTTCTATTCCCTGCAAGCCAAAGCCCTAACTGGTCCTAGATGGACAAGCAGCAGGACAGCAATATCAACGATAAGCTATTGGGGTCTTAGCTGGTTAGACTTCAGCAGTTATCCCACTCTGGGGTCCCCAAGCCTTGGCTCTTGCCAACCAATGCCTAATACTTTCCGGAATTAGGTAAGCAGGATGCGTCTCTCCAGGGAGAGAGAGGGAGTGCATTCCATTCCAAAAATCTATCTCTGGGATTTCCATGTGTAGGTGGGATGCATGGAAATCTCAGCTCGATTTTGATATTCTTAAGCAGAGTGACAGGTTTCCGCATGTGTCAAGACACTCAGCTTACCAATTTTTTAAACAATTCCATACCCCAACATTGGGCACATCTACTTTGGAAACTATTTTGCTCTCACATTCTATACAAAGAACAACAATAATAACAGACAATTTTTAATTTAAAAGGAATCTGGCAACATCTTTGGTGACATAAACTCTGTGTAATAAAAGAATCAGTGGTTTCCAAACATCTTAATTATTCTTTCACATTCTCAGTTAATTGGACTTTTTCTTTGTACACAAAAAAAAACTTCAAAAGAGCGTTCCCTTAAATTTACAGCCTATTAAACAATATAACAGTAACTCAATTTAAAACACGCTGGTACTTTGCCAAAGATTAACCGATTTTCACAAAGAGAAACTTTGTTTTAAACAAAAATTATTGCTGTGGCTTTAAACTCAATTTCCACACTGTGAGTGCGTGAGTGAGTGTGATTGTGTGTGAGCGTGAGTGTATGTGTGGGGTGGGGGGGAGGAGAGTTTCTGCTCCTCTCTCCTCCCCTCCCATATACCCCATCAATTGTAACTTACAAATTTATATGACTGAACAAGGGATCTGTTGCAAATTGCAAACGGTTGACAGGAATCTTTACCAGATTAATTGCCAGTTTTAATGAATATTTCCTTCCCATTCGTTTCTTTGAGGGAAGTGCTTGTTAGTTTTTTTTAACAAAAAAGCAAAGATTCCTTCAGATGAAAGGGATGTCAGGGGTGAGGGCTAACAAACAGTGCATCAAAACTGAAATCATGGCCTGAGCCAGTCTCGCCACTCTTTACATTTACACACAAGGATTGGAAAAGCGTTACCACAACAACAACAACACAAAAACAAACACCCAACGAACATCTACAATTAAAAATTCCCAGAGTTATTCCAGCTACAAATAATAATAATCCTTGCATTTGATATAGCGCTTTTCACGTCGGGAGGACGTCCCAAAGCGCTTCACAGACACACTGTAAAGTGAATTGACTGTATATATTTGTGGGCGAACGCGGCAGCCAATTGCGCACATCAATGTCCCACAAACAGTCGTAGATTGAAAATGACCAATTTATTATTGTTTTTGGAGGTATTATTATTAGGTGTGTGGAGTAAGGAAACTTGCCCAAGGTTTCCCTCTGCCTGGAATTGAACTCAGGTCTCTCGCTTGCAAAAGGTCTCTAACCACTGAGCTACAGGACTCCACAAATGTCCTAAATATGTGTCTGCACTTGTGCAACATATGGTGAGTCAATTACCAGTCTAAATTCTGAAACAAAATGCGTGGCAACACAGCGGAGAAATAATGGACAGCAAACGCTTTGCCTCAGATTACAGCAGCCACTGGAGTTTTGAATACAATTAATCATCATTCCCAGGCTATAGGAAGCCATATTGACACTCATTCATAATTTGAATATTTAATTACAGTGAACTTCCTCATCAAATTATCGCAAACTGGGAGAAAAGCCGAAAGATTTAAATAATTACGGGGTTTAACCCCTCAACTCCTGCTCCTGTAAGTGGTAGGGGCTGAATTAGCCTATTATATAATAGGCCAGCGGGAACATAATGGGGTGGTTTCCCTCTAAGCGTGAATGATGAACAGATAGAGCAATAATGTTTTGAGTGCAGACATTCCAAATCACACGATCACTTCAGTCAAGAATCTGATGGGAAGGTGTTGGAGACTGCTGCAAAGGCCTTTGTAGGGATTGCTGGCAATTAGCCAAGTTAAACCCTTCCTGAACAAGTGGGCTTAACCTCGAAATGAATAATAATAGTACTAATAATAATTCTTGCATTTGAGACGTCTTCGAGACGTCTCAAAGCGCTTCACAGGATATACTGTAAAGTGAACTGACTATATATTCTGTGGCCAAAACGCGGCAACAAGGTGCACACAGCAATGTCCCACAAACAGTAGTGGATTAAGTGACCAAATTCTTATTTTGGGGGAGGGATTATTACCCCAGAAAGCAACCCGCCAATCGTCTATTAACTGGGTTCCTACTTAATGCTAGGTAAACGGAGACGTGTGGAGTAAGCAAACCTACCCAACGTTTAGCCCCGCCCTTAATTTAGAATCTTAATTTGGAAGATCTTTTTTAGGTCTTGGTAAGTAAAGTGGCTTCTTGGTGGAGGTTTAAATCCCAGGCACTGAAACTGGGTGGAAAAAAAGGAGCATTTTAGCTGAGAACTGCAACACGACGCTTCTGAAATTCTACATCTCTACAAATCCCCGAAGCCTACGCCAACTCTTTGCCACCTTTAATGGTTATCAACAGCTCAAAATTACCACAAGACATCAATCGCTAAAGACGTCAATAGCCTTCAGGACTGTGAAGTCAATTGTAACGCAGAACAAAGCAGCGGCTCATATTAAAAAAAATTTAGCCTCCTGGCTGCCAAAATTGGTTAAAGTCAAGTATGCATCATGTCGGGAATGAAATCCCACTGGGTTCCGCGGTCACTGATAACTGCTGCTTTACATTTCTTGCCACCAACACAGGAGGCATTCACACAGGTCTGAAAGCCCATGATTTCCCTTTTTGCAGTATTTTAAGATCTGCGCCCAGTTCCTGTTCGTTCCACGGCTTTGAGAAGCAGGAACGTGACCAACCACTTCTCCCAACTGAACCGCTGAGGCCGTCAAAATCATTTAAGAGACAGCGAGGATGATGATGTAAACCACACAGAGACAAGGCACATGCCACAGTCAATAAAAACAGATCGTTTAAAAGCACACGACACATCTACTGTTTGATCGTCTTCCGACCCTTTTCACATGTCTATTTTGAGCCACAGCCAAGGATGTGTGTATTTTACATGACAACAAGAGCAACAGATAAAGGAAAGAAACCTTTCTGGCCATTTGACCATTTCCCCTCTCGTCTTCCCATTACAGCATCGAGGAATTCCTAGTCAAGTCCCCTCTCCAGATCTCAACCACCCTTTCCTGGAAACCCGTTCCAGCTGTTTGTTATTTATGTAAAGAATAGCTCCTGGTGCAAAGAAATACTTCCTACAACTGCCCTTCCGAACCACAAACAACCCCACACCAGATAGAGATGCAATCTCTGGTTCCCATAAAAAAACAGCTGAAAAAAAACCTCAATGGTAATCATACAGCATTTTATTTGTCCAGCTAGTCACGCTTTCCCTGCAGGGCTCGAGACATGACGCATTCACGCTTTCCAGCCTTTTTTATTCTGCAATTTTGAAATGGCAATTAGCATTTCCCATCCATTTTGTGAATATCACAATCAGAGTGCATGTAGGCACTCTCACACTTACACACATGCAGTGCTTGGGAAAGTCAACAATTCATTGACATGTAGACAGAACATAGGTGATGAGTGCCTGCTGGTGCAGATATTATATAATGCTTATAATACAAGTTCACTTATATTGGGATGTGGCTTCTGACATTTACTTACCCCCACCTGCCAAAAAAATGCATCAGAAGGCCAGCTTTTTTTCATGTGACACCACGATTCAGAGTTGTTGATCGGTGATCGCTTCCTGTTAATAAAACTGGGTGGGATTTTATGACCCCCAACCCCATCCCGCTCCCCAACTACTGTTTTGTAATGGGCTTCTGAATCGCACAGAATTAACACACGAAACCTCAGGACTTGGTCACACAGCCTGTGCCATTTGTCACCGCACATTCACAGAAATACCTGTACAATTGAATTATAACAGCTACTTTACGAAAGAAGCTTAAAAATCTGCCTTCCACCATCATCAGTCACCGGGACTCCTCCAGTCATTAATTATTTGTACGCGTCCTCTCGTTACCATATGTCCAAATTAGCCTCAGTCTGAAATATACTGTGCGCTGAATGCATTAAAAGGCAAGAAGCACCCCCCAAAAAAATCAATATTACCATCATTGCATTAAAAACACTTTATTTAATTAAAGATCTCAGAAAGCACCGAGATCAGACAGAGTGCCAAGGCATTAACACCAAGGCAGTCTCTAGGACTTCTATGCTATTCTCGATGATCTATACCCATCGCCTTGCTTTAAATCACTACATTTTAAAGGCTGAAAGGACTCACTAATATGCCCTGTCACAAACTGACAGCCACCACAAACCCACCTGCCTACAGCGAGTTACTTCAGTCACCCATTAACATCTCATTCTGTATCAAAATGCTGTTTTGAGCCTGTGAAAAACTGAGGTAAATTGTATAATTATACGTCCATAAACACTACATACAAATCCTCCCACAACACTGTGCAGGTAGTAAGAAAGTCACACATTAAACCCAGCAACAATATACTGTGCCGGGTATATAACCCCAACCATCGCACTAGAATGTGGACACAAAGCCAAAATGGCCACCATATCACTACCTCGGTGTTGCACATGCTCGCTGGCTTCCGGCACTAAAAAAAAGATTCAACTGCTGGTTCATACCCTACGTCAATTCCCTCCCTC